CCTGGCTGCCAGACGCACAGGTAAGTGCGCCCCTACTGGCCCGCGCCCCTCTACCGCTTAACCGCGCGGCGAGCCCGTGCGCCCCGCCCACGCCGCGGCCGGGTTGCTCGAGTCTCGGCGGGCCCGGACCGCGGGAACCTGGAGGCAAACCTTTCCTCCCTCGCCCGCCCGCCCGCCCGCCACTGCTGGCTCTGGCGCACACCGGGAGCCCGGGGACGAAGGTGTCCAGTTTCTTTTGACCTTGGGGACCGAGGAAGGAGCGCAATCTGCGGGATGGGGAAGGCTCGAGAGGGATCGCCCTTGTCTCAAGGTCTGCAGGAGAGCTCAGCACTGACGCCGGCTTCCTCATCTTCCATGGCGCCGACGGAACGCGGGGTGATCGCCGGCGTCGCGCAGGCACAGCATTGCCTCTGCGTCCGAGCGTTGCTCTGCTTACAGTCTTAGGTTAGATCGCACGCTTTATACCTCCTGGGAGGCCTCCCCCGAAATCTCTCACAGTATCTGGCCATAGTCATCTCTCTCCTTCTAACCACACTCCGCTAAAGAGATATTTTAATAGGAACGCCTAGCGGATCACATTCCTACTTAGAATTTTTCTAAGTCTCCAGTGCTGTCTGTTTTAAGTCCAAACTTTGATTTACAAAACGCTTGGAGACCTAGCTCTTGCCTAGCCCACGAGTCTAGTGTGTGTTCTTTTCTGGGTTCGTTCTAATGAACCAGTCCTCGTCTGCTTTGATTTGATGAAACAGTCTCCTGACCTTCAACTTGTTATGTAAGCCTAAATTGGCCTGGAACTCAGGATCCCCCTTCCTTGGCCTCCAGAGTAGGGGGTTAGGGGCATGTGCCAACATACCCAGACTGGTCTACTTTCATTCCAGGAGTTTATAATTAAGCACCTACTATGTGTCAGACACTGCTTGGGCCACTTTGGAATTCAACAGAGGGAAAAAAATAGAGGTGAAGAATGTACTTGTAGTTTATAATCTAGTGAGGGACACAGGCAAAGAGACCTAGTAAATTAAGATAACATGTGACAAGTGCTCCCAGGCATAATGGCAGATGCCCATAATCCTGGCACTTGGGAGGCTGAAGCAGGATCATTGAGAGTCCCAGGCCAGCCTGAACTACATAACAAAACCCAGTGTCAAAAAAATCAAAAAAATTAGAGAGAGGGTCTCACTAAATTGCCTACCCTGGCCTTGACCTTGTGTGATCCTCCTGCTTCATTTCCCTTGGTAGTTGAGATTACGATCATGCTCACACCTGACTAGCAAAGGAGTCTTGGGAAGCAGCCACTGGTGAGATCAGACAAGAGCCAAGTGTCCTAGAAGGGGCGAATAATCAGAAGTCAAATAAGGGCCAACTAATAACTTTCTGGATATAGAAAGTGAAAGGAGGGATTTAGGGAGAATATAGATAACCTTTTTGAGTTTTATTGTAAAGAAGAGCAAGAAGGCTGGGCATAGTGGCACATGCCTATAATTCTTGAAAGGCTGAAGCAGGAGGGTCCAAAACAAAAGGAGCAAGAATACAGATAGTAGCTAGGAGGTGGCATAGTTAAAGAGATTTTGTCTGTTTGCTCATTTTTGAGTGAGAGAGGTAACATGCTGATAGTGTTCTGTTAGTGAAGTTGCTTGGTTTCAGGCTATTTTTGCTGTTAAGCTGCTCTTAGGCATCCCTGTCCTGGCGTCCACCAATGCAAGGTCCAGCCTTCTATGACAGCCGGTTTACCTCCCTACATTCCATTTAGAAAAACAGCAGTTCCCTGAGGACAAGGACTGTTGTATACCTAGGCCTACCTAGGCTGGTCGGGGTGCTGGCGGATGAATGAGTGTGGGCTGGATATAGTCATGGGCAGATGTCTGTTTCTAGAAAGGTAATCTGCAGTTCTTGGCTGGGTTTTATATGGGAGTACAGAATAGGCCAGTCATTGCCCTGTCACAACTCATGGAGCAGTAGTGGCAATACTATGGCAGTGCGTGCCACAGTGGTCTGTTTTTGAAAGCTCTGAAAAGTTCGCCATTGCTGTCTCAGAGTATGAGAGAATAGACCACAAGAACTAATTAGCAAGTGATGAAAGACATGCAGGATGGTATGACCAGAGTCTGAAAAAGCGTGTCGGGTACCAGGGTTGGGGAGGAGGAGGGGAGACCATGCCACAGGATGGAAGCTTTTATTTTCAGCAAAATCCCTTTCTTAAAATATAAAGAAACCAGGGCCAGGGATTTAACTCACTGGTGCCGCTGCCTGCCTCGAAAGTGCAAGGTCCTGAGTTTAATTCCTGGTACAAAAAAAAAAAAAAAAAAAGAAACCAGCGCTGCTCTAGCTGAAGAGGAGCTGGGTTGTATCCTCTTTCTGGTGCTCCCCTCCAACTCAGGGCTTTCCTGACCAGTTCTAGGTTCCCAAGATCCTCCCTTGAAGCCTTGAGTGCCCACTGCTTACCTACAAATGTTCATCCTCTCCACCAAAAACTGGGTTTACATGTTTCTTCGGTTTTATATCTGTCTCATATGTAGTCTAAACTTGCAGCATTTGCCAGTGTTTGGCTGCTGGAAAGTGAAGCAGATCCCAGAGAGGGAGTAGCTAATAAACACAAAGGTGGTACTTGGCTTTGTACATTTTTGTGTGAGTGTGATTTCAGAGTTATTTTCTGTTGGTAAAGGTTCCCTATTGTAGGGGAACAACTGTCTGAGATGTGTAGGGAACCCCATATGCAGGTGTTCTCCAGAAGGAGCAGCAGTGTGGTGCAGAGCTAGGGCTTAGGCGTAGCACAGGTACCCAGCTATGGATGCAGATGACTTCCTCTCAGAGCCATGAGTACTCTCCTGCCACCGGGTACCTCCTCTTGGGGTTTCTTCTAAGTTGGGGTCACAGTTCCTTCCATTTTCCTACCCCTCAAACTCTCCATTCTCTTTGGTATTGTAATAGGCAAAGGTTAGCTTTTGTTGAAGAAAAATTTATTGTAGTGATCCATGAAATACATCTATGGACTCTTGAAATATGCTGTTTTCTTCCTTTATCCCTGATTTAGTAAAATTTAAAGTTCTTTGCAAGGCTATTGTATATTAAATTAGAGTATGTGTGAGTGTAGCTATGTGGGTGGTGGCACATAGTTGTAGTCCTAGTTTTTAGGAGACTGAAGCAGGAGGACTGCCACAAGTTCTAGGCCATCCTGAGCTACACTGCAAGTCAAGGATGGCCTAAGCTACATAGTAAGAACCTTTCTCAAAAAATTTAAAAGGAAGCCAGGGATTTAGCTCAGTGGTGCCACCACCTGCCTCGAAAGCACAAGGTCCTGAGTTCGAGCTCTGTATGAAAAAAAAAATTTTAAGAAAGAAAATGTGTAAGTATGATTTTTTGGGGGGGGGCTAACATTTCTCTTGAAAGTGCTTCAAGAAGTTTCTAGTCGTTTTAGAGTACTCTGGATTTTACAATATTTTAAAAATTATAGTTCTAGGCCAGGTGTGGTAGCATACACTTGTAATCCCAGCACTTGGGAGGCTGAGGCAGAGGATTGCTGCAAGATTGAGGACACCCTGGGCTACATAGTTCAAGGCCAGCCTGAATTGTAGAGCGAGACCCTGACTCAAAAACAATAAAATTATAGTCATTGAAAAACAGCCCTTAAATTGGGCCTGCTTTCTCATTTAAGAGTAGAGTTGGGATCCCAAGAATAGTGAAATAGAGTTGAATTTGTGTTATTCATTCATTCCAGAAAAGTAAGGCCCAAAATGTCAACTGTAAAGTAGAAGTAGGTAGCCCTGTGTTTCTGTGTGAGCCATACCAATAATTGCTGTTCTCAGCTTTGTGATTAATGAAAAGTAGGAAAGAAAAATTATAAGAATCATTAAATAAATCAGACCCAAAGTAAAACCTTGACACAAAGGATGGTCACCTGCAGACACAGAGGATGAGGAAACTCTTCTCGAGTTGTCCCTGACCACTAAAGCCATCTTGATGTGGTTGGGAGGCCTACCACCATCAGGGGAAGATGGTTCCACCTGTGTTTTAAGTAACTGGAGGAATCGATTGCTCTTTGGCACATCAGCACTTTGGTGCCTCCAGAAATGATTACGTGGTTTGTGGGTCTCCAGGGCCCCTCCTCTGCTAGCTGTTGTGTGTAAAACAATGGGAAGGGAGTGAAAAGGAGGCCAAAGGTAGATCCTTCAGGTTTGTTCATTCCCAGCTCTGATTTGCTGGGGTTGGAGATTTATGGAGATTCGTGAAGTCACAATCTGCTCTTCCTTGGCAGTGTCAATATTATAAGGATGTAGTGTGTGTCAATAGTCTTTCTCCAGATGTCTTAAATCATTTGAGAATCAGTGTTAATATTTTAATCAGTCAGCACCCAGAGCTAATTGGCGGGGTGGGGGGGAGTAGAACAGTGTTTTCATACATACTAGAGTCTCCTTGGACCCTCATGACAGTCCTAGGAGCTAAGCACATCGTTGCACCTAGAACACTCTGTGATCTAGAACAGGGCCTTGGTGTGCACACACTGATCCACCCTTGTGTAGGGGAGCATCAGTACGATACTGGACAGACCTGTCCTGTGTGTGCTTTTATGTTGTCAGCGTGCCGTGATGCTACATTTGTGAGATCTAATTGAATATTTGTCTATTTCAGGTTGGATGCACCATGGCTATGACCAGTGTTAGATTGTTCACTGGTATTTTTAAAAAGCCAGAAGCCTGGATTGGACTCTGGGGTGTGCTTCAAGGGACATCTTCACACAAACTCTGTGCTTCCTGTAATCGATATTTATATTTTTCAAGTACCAAGTTAAACGCATCAGATTATAAAACACTTTTCCATAATATTTTCTCTCTAAGATTCCCAGGGCTT